ACCATAAAGCGGCACTATAAAGCAAATTACATACAACAGTACTACTAATGGTAGAATTATTTCTTGTATAAGGTTATGGCCGCAAATGTTTTGGTGCCCTAAGAAGGGCAGCAACATGGTGGCTCCTACTTGAACCAAATTCTGTAATTTTTGAGCTGAGCTGTGTAAGCTGATACAGTCAACATTTTTCTCATTAAGGTGCAAATAACGCAAGAAACGAGTGCAATTATCCAACCTCAGGAAATTGCTTTATGACGTTGGTTGCTATGCAATCATCGTAATCCTGTGTGCTTTCCTGAGTGCGTGCAACCCAAAACTGCTAAAAGTTTGCTTTTCTGGAAAGACAATAGTTGGGTAATAACTCGTCCCTGGTATTTTGCAAGACTCCTACGAATATATAAATCGATACTTCACACTAAAATCTCTAATAAGATATATATTATAAGCTTGGATTTTAACCTATGCATTAGGTATAAGATTGTCGTCATTGCCTAATGAATCAGACCTGAACTACGTGTGATCCCATGACATTAGTTAATTTTGTTATCCTACTAAATGTTGGCAGCATTATTTACAACCTCTTGAAAAAAATCCTGCATATATATATACTACTTGCTACATTGATGCATAAAAATATGTAACTAGTCTAAATATAATAAACCTTAGTTTTTGTCCTTTTCGGAAACAGGTTCATGATTGAGCAAAAATCCACGGGAGTTACCTAAAATGTTGCGATACTTGACAAGACAAACAACGAAGTTAATCCATTTTGAATGCAGTATGAAAATGGCATTTTGGTACCAGGTTATTAAGGTGATTCCCTAGTATAAGAGCCCGCCATAGATTTTCGATGAAACTTGGTATGCTCTTGTTACAGGACAAGGAGATATTAAAAACGTAGTAAAAAGAGGGGTCACCGTGCTTGTTTTCACACGACAATGCTGATAAATACGGTTATTTAGGTGACTTTTGGTAACCTCCGTGTACAACAAATAAGCTCGATTATTTTTCAATGCAGCGTGTTATATCACCCAGACTTTGACTTTCTTTGATTGCTTATTCATCTACGTCCCAGAGAAAATGTCTTCAAATACCCTGCATATTTTTATCCTTTAAAGGAAACATAATTTGGAAATGCGCTGTTGGGCCCGTTACGTCTCCCTCTGTAGTATTTATTTTTTTTCAGTTATTGAGGATATTGTTCTCATTGAAATAGTGAAATAAAAAGTGAGTGTCATCGTGCTCGTTTAAGAGAAAAGGAGCATTTATTTCGCTATCGAGCTTAGTTTGAGGGAAATCTCTTACGTTCTGTACGCGCACGTGCTGATGTGCGCGCGCTAATGACGCGAAAATCGTGCGCAGTAGGGATGCGCAATGCAATACTAAGGAATCTTCTTAAATAACCCACGGAATCCAAAGGTATGTGGCTCAATTGCAACTGTTCCAGCAACTCAGATACACCTTTAACTCTATCGGCATGCTGCTAAAATCTCCACTCCCACCTCGAAGCCTAGGGTGGTTGCTCCCTCATATGGGCTATAAAGGTATGTGCGGCCAAAAGAGTATGGTTTTCAGCCATTTTGGTCAGAAATAGGGTATCGATTTTGGCCAATTCTGGTCTCAAATAGGTCGGGGTTGGCTTTTGCATTCAACTCTTGAACTCGGTATGCTTTTTATAAGAAGCTACTTTTTCGGTAAGACCATCAACAAAGGCCATTCAAAATGCCTTCAACATCGGTCCGAAGTAGGAATGTAATTATAAGACAGGTCTGAAACAGGGTATTGATTTAAGGGACAGGTATTAACGTATCGAATTTTTGGTCAGGTTATAAATAGGATGGGAGGCGCGGTGGCCTTATGGCTAGTGCGCTCGTCTCCGGATCGAGCGGTCACGTAGGGGCCAAACCACCCCCCAAATGTTTTGTCAGTTCTTGAGTATTTCACATTACTTCGCATTACTTAAAAAGTATTGACTCTTTCTACACCAAACTTGGCAGATGACCAGGAGACCTATTGCCAATTATATTTACGTCAAAAATGTTAGTAAATATCAAAGTTGTGACGTCACAGTGATGACGTCATGTTTTTTGCCACTTTTGAAGTTTTTAATAT